TCCTGGGCACCTAGATTTCAAGTCCCAGTTCCTATTCCAGAGTCTCTGTCCCTTTCATTGTGGAAATTGCTGGCACCATGTCTGAGACTCCCCTGGCATAAAGACAGAGGCATCCTAAGGGACACCTTGGATTCCCTGTCTTTCCGTTCTAAGACTGAAGTCTACAGCAGAGATGTCCACTGTTTTCTTCCAGTCTCTGGTTCCGGAATTCTGCCAAAAGTGGCTGGGACACTAGTCCTTTGACAGAATCTTTCCCTTGGGACTTAAGGGATCATGGGTAACCAGAACTCCAAACCAGACCCAACTATTCCTCTGGGGTGTCTCTTACTCAATCTTGGTGCCCTGGGGATGGCTCAGTACTTAATGTCCCAAACGCCTAATTTTCTATTGCACTACTGCTTGGCCCCAATACCCATTAGATAATAATTCTCAGTGGCCTGAGCAAGGAACTTTCGATTTTAATATCCTCACTGATCTTGATAATTTCTGCCACCGCATAGGCAAATGGCCGGAGGTTCCCTACATCCAAGCTTTCTTTTACCTGCGCTCCCATCTCTCTCTCTCTCCCTCTCTCTCTCTCTCTCCTTCTCTTTCTCTGCTTTACGTGCAATACCACCCAGATTCTCCTAACTCACGAAAGTCCTATTCAAACCCCCCTCTAAAGACTCCTCAACCCTTCCCAATTCCCCTAGCCTGGAGTCTCTGGGGTTAGAGTCCCTTTCGGCCTCTTTGGGGGTTCAAGTCCCCTTTGGCCAGGTTAGGTAGGGTAGAGGGTTCGAGTCCCTCTAGCAGCTCTAGTAGAGAGTTCACTTTCAGTTTTGTCGGGGTTGGTGTCTGTCTGTGTGACTGTTTAGTGTGAATGATATATGTGAAGTTCCAAGACGAAAAGTTGCAGAATTTCAATGGGCCTGAAGTTGCATTCTGTGTGAGGTCGGATTGGCATAATGGTGGGGCTTAGCCCTCTGCTCCGGGGTTTATATGGAGACACCTTAGCCAAAGACCCACTGAAACCTTCATAAGAAGGGC